GTGACTCGTACCAGCAACCCGTTGCCAATTTCGACGATGAAAACAAGGATGGTGAGGTAATGTGAGCCGTCCGGAGCTGAGGACAAGAGTAAGGCTGGAAACGCACGTGAAGGGGTCAACACGGAGATCCACCTCTCCCTTATCGGAGGTTACTGAGCCACGCGTAGCCTGTAAGAGGCAACATGATAGGGGGGGTCGGATCCCATCCATGATGCGATGGGATGGGATGGGATTGGCAGTGACGCTGAGGGGACGGGATGACATACGGTGCCTGCCACCGCCCGCCCTACGCTACCTGCGTACGGATACCTACCACTACCAACACTAGGTAGGTCTGGCACCTTGGGTACCCAAAGCGCCTTACCAGTATGGCGAGATACTTCCGGGCATGAGACAGGAGGAGGTGCAGTCGGGCAGGTTCCTCAGCGAACAAGCCCAATCTGGGCAGGTTTGGCAAGGCACACACACACACACACACACCCAACATCTCCACTCAGCTCAAGGTCTCCTAGCACCGGGGTTACTTAAGCCCCTCTCCCCTCTTTCGCCGCATACTGTGGATTTGCTCCTCCCCAACTCTTTCCATCGTCACCTTACTCGACTCTTCAGCCCGTCACTCATTTGTACGGCAACATGAGCAGAGAATATACACGCGCTTTTCCTGCATCAGACACTGGCTTCTACTCTTCGCTTTTACTTTCTCCCAATCCGCCTCCTCAAACAGATCATCCTCCTGGCGCTTGAACGTAGCACAAAACAGTACCAAGAAGGAAAACCCAGCATATCTAATCTTGCTACACTCAGCGGATCCAAGCCTTGCGACCGACAGATACCTGCCTTTCGCCACCATCATATCCTTACCTTCTCAATCAAGGCGTTCTTTACCTTTAGCGACCATTGTCTAGGACTTCTCCCCCTTTGTCGACCCTGACACCCGCCGGCTTCCACCCTACGGTCGCTGCGACACATCTTACTACGCCATTGTTACGACTCAGAATGCAAGAAACTACAAATCAAGCAAAGCCAACGCCCACTCGTCGCCGACAGAATCGGGGCGGTGGCGGCAAGGCTGCTGGACAGAAGATGTATGCGTCCGAGACTGACGTCGTCAATGTCTCTACCCTGGCCTTTGAACAAACCGGTCATCCTCATACCCCCCAGAAGTCATATTCTGGCTCACCTGAGCCGCAGTCCGGCAACGGTAACCAGCCTGGCTCCAAACAGCGCTCGCGAAACAAAACTCGGGCTAGGAACCCCAATACCATAGCTTCGCCCGACGTCACCCGCCAAAACCGCCGGTCCACCCCTCAGAGCATCCCGGTCAACAAGTCGGCAGCGGCCGCTTTCGCTGGCGCAACTTTCCATGCTTCGCCTGCCCCGTCAGCCCTACCTATGCCCAGCTTCTACTCAAAGTCCATTCCCGAATCTCCAGGACCCAGGCCAGAAGCTCAACAGCAGCCGTCACCTCCGGCAACCGAACGACAACGTCCGACGCCTCAGCATCCTGCGACCGCACCTAGGGCCCGCGAGTCGCCTCTTGACGCCATTTTCAGGGCCGATAGAGCTGAAAAAGAACAGGCACGACGATCGAGTTCTCTCAACTCATCCGTTCAAACAGACGGTTCCGAGTCAACCGCTGCTCCTTCACCCAGAGAGGTCGGCCACGGCCCATTCGTTGCGAAACCTTACAATACTCACCCTGGCCACCGTATGCCTCTCCAGAGATCATCTAGTGGGATCTCGGCCCAGGAGCTTGACGGCTTTTCGGGAAAGCCACTTGGCCCTGCCTTCTCCACCCCGTACCAAGAGCGAATCCGCGCTGCCCGTGCCGCTCCCAACCAGTCCCCGAATGGCACGAGACCCACGCAGGACTCGCCTGCAGAGGACCGCTCTGAGGCACTGAAGAAGTATCTCTTTGGTGGCAAAGGTCTGGCTTCGGCTGCTCAGCCTCCAGCTTCGGCTCCGCCAGCTCAGTACGTCCATAACGGTTTCATGGGAAATAACCCAGCCCCTCAGGGCGACCAATCTGCCGATCTCCGAGCCATGGAGGACAACCTGCGTCGCATTTTGAAACTCGAGTCGCCTATGTCATCTACACAATCCGGGGAACGTCCTCTGTACTCTTAGGCGGCCATTGGCTGTCGATTGCAAACAACAACAAGGTTCATTACACTTGGTACTTGGGGCGCCACTTGGCTGGTTGGCTTTGTGCCGTCGTTCCTCTTTGGAAGACGCAGGGGTACTGGAACTCATCTGGCATGGAAATGGGAGTCTGCGCTGCTTCTATTTGATATGATTTGCTACTCTGTCTTGCTGGGTGTCTTGGGGTTGCGGGAAAGCGGGAAAGCGGCAGGAGCTCGCAGTTGCTTTACGTGCCTACCTGAGATTCTACTTGATACCCGAAAGCGATGTTGATGTTTTCTTTTCAGTTAGGACCAATTCATATTCCGTTTCCATCTATCATGTCCGCTTATGTTTGTATCCAGTCGAATTGAAAGACTACCAAGATGTATATTTAGTGGCGTCCGTGGTCCAACTTTGATCCGGTCCTTTCCACCCTCGGCGTACTTGGACGGTCGATCAAATAGGGCGTTGTCAAGATATTCGGGGGCAAGGCTCTCCGCAGACATTATATCAGTAATGTTTCTGTACCTGGTGAGGTACCGTGGTTATGCTGCTTAATCAGGCTACCCTGTAGCTCTTGAACATCTTTTCGTTAAGGAGTGTTGCCCCGATATTAAGATTGAACATGTATAGATAAATCTAAACTAGAAACTCGAATGAGTAGCGAGAAGCTTTTCGCGGCCCCTGTGGATGAGGCTGTGGCCGCCCCAGCTGTTGGCTTCCTGGTCAACTCACTGGTTCTCGCATCACCAATGTCTCTCATCAACCAGGAGCCGCACTCCAGTGTACCATATGTATGATCTCTCATTAAGAGGACATCATCCCTGGCATAACATATCATGGGGGCAGTAGCGCGCTCTTATCAGGAACCCGGTTCATGCTGCTGACCTTAAGTTAGGTGTCTATTATGTGTGATTGCCTTGATTGTCCATGGTTTAGTTCACCATCCTCAGGGAAACAATTATCAACCACGTGCTTAGAAATAATTCCCTGCCCTCTTGTACTCCGGCAGCGACGGTGTATCAGAGACTCCAAAGTCGATAAGGGACTCACTCCAATAGTATCTGTTGGTCTATGAGATTCGCAGAGGGTGTCTTGCGGGAGATGTCTTTTGTAAGTCTTCCATCCAGATTCAATATGGGGGAAAGCCTGACGGACGTCTATTGACCGCTAGTTAAAGAATATTGATGCTGCTACTGAACTATTGCCCGAAGCCAACATCGTTATCCTAACACATAGATACATATGCGTACCGTACTAGAAAGTTCAACCACCGCGCCATATCGACAAATGTATGTAACCTTGCTTCGTTATATACTCCTTTCGTCAAGCCCCCAAGTCCGATACCGAGATACTGAAAGGACCTTAAATCTCGTCTCTGGTATGTAGGTCTTGTATCCTGGAGTCTAACGAAGAGTCTCTCGGGCCCTGGAAAGAACCTCCCAGGTTTCTCTTGGCGGCAGCATGAGCCGCAATTTATGTGTGAGGATCGGGATGATGGCCTTATCTAGCCTGGCTCGGTGCTGGCAGAAGTGAACTAGCGAGAGAAGTTTCCATCTTTCCGTAAGAGCTATAAACTATAATCTGACTTGGAGCTGAACTGTCGTATATATCGGCCATTCCATCAATGTGGCTTGTGGTAGACTGAGCCCACGAACGTCACCATCAGCATTTCCCACCCGCTTGTTCTGGGATTCAGTCGGAACCAGAGACGTCAGCATGCTAGAAATAATAAGATGCCGAATAAAGCATCCATGAAATCAAGACATCATAACTGTCGAGGTACAGGCTATGGTGTTTTATACTTCGCCCTCTAGTTCGAATATTGGTAAACCATAATTAACGGCGTTTTTAACCCGAGGGAATTTGACACTCGTCGGGCATCCATCAAACGCCGAGGCCCTTTTTGCCTGAAGTACTCAACGCAACTTTTATACTCAACCGGAGTTCAAACCATCGCTCGTCGCTCGTCCAAGGCTGTCTATAACCAAAGTCGTTTTGTTTCCAGTGCTCAGGTAGCAACATCTAGAGAAGGAGAGTCGTTGAAAGCTGCAAATGGAGTCTCGTGGCCACGTTACTGCGGCGTGGCTTTCGACAAATATTGCTAGTTAGCCTTAAATCCGTATAAAAGGCCTTTGTGACTCTTACAGATTGGACCGTGGCATTCAGTTGAGGTTGTGGATGGACTGAAACACCACGATAGAACCGAGGGAGTTCACAATTAGTAGAAGAAATATGGTAAGCCATATAACCAACTAAGGAAAGAACATGCTTTGTACTCCAATAGAATCTCTAGATGTTTACATGAGACTTGGCCAGTAGCTAGAAAACACTACGGTCGAAGTGCATTGGATCGTCTAGCGCGAGTCTGATGCCTACATCGGGCAGCATGCCTTCACCTTTGACAATGCGAGCCCCCAGAAGGAGATACTGGGGACAGATGATTTCATTAAGCACTACATAGACCTTGACCGTCAACACCACGAATGAAGTCGTGAAAACACGGCACTGGATGTAACAAACCGACCCGATTTTGATATCGCTGTAACGCCGATGGCACAAGTGCAAGTGCAAGTCAAGCGTGAATATGTAGATATAGGTACATGCATCAAAAGGAATGAATGCACGAAGGCACGTGACTTCGCGAGTTGATGAATGGAAAGATGGGTCTTGGTTACACGTCGGTCGTGTAATTGACGTCGTCAGATGTTCACCATCATCATCACGAGGTGGCCCTGTTGCCGACGCATCACTGCACTCAAAATTTTGCCCAAACTACAACTCAAGGAACATCGCAAAAGTTCGCTGGAAATTTCAGCCGTTACTTCAAGCCAGCAACTGCATCCAAAGGGCACCAAACGTTCTCGCGAGCAAACATGAGTTTGCACAACGATCGGGCGCGTTCCCAGTCGCCAAGCGTAGATGACGATCCAGATCTCGCGTTAGCCATTGCACTTTCTTTACAGCAAGAGGAAATCGAGAACGAGGACAAAACTAAGGATGCGCAATCTGCAACGAAGCTCCCGACATCGTTGTCGGCCACTAACACAGGCCCGTTGGGGCTTTTGGCCCTCGACCGCAAAAAGATGGAAGAGGAACGCATAGCAAGACTGAAGAAGCGTTCAGCTACAGAGGCTGGTATCGATACCCAATCCTCACAGAGATCAAAGTTGCAACGCCCTAAGGCCTCCGAGAGCCACAAGGTTACTGGTACTGTAAAGTCCAAGGCAGCAACACCAGCCGCAAATGCTTTGGAATTACCATTTCCGAAAGGAGCGTTCAAGCGCACTTGGGCCTACGGCTGCCCCAGAAACGGGGAAGATATCAAGATTGAGGAAGTCCTTCAGAAGGACAAATTACAGCTGGCCGTGCTCTCATCCTTTCAATGGGACGAGGAATGGCTTCTCTTGAAGGTCAATGCCCGAAACACCAAGATGCTTCTAGTCGCCTACGCAAACAACGATGCCGAGGTATGTCGGAATGCTATCTTACGTTTCTGGGTCGAGTGCTGAGCTTGCGACTCATGTTCTAGAAAGCCAACATCCGCTCAAACATTCCGGCCGGTAGTCTCATCAAATTTTGCTTTCCCCCAATGCATGGCGGGTACATGCATTCCAAGTTGCAGATCTTGAAGTATGAAGGGTCAGCTAAATCTCTATCATGCAAGCTACTAGCAGCCATCTGACACCGACTTGCAGTTACCTCCGTATTGTCATTCCTTCCGGCAATCTGGTTCCTTACGACTGGGGAGAGACGGGCCAGCTGGAAAACGTTTGAGCTCCCAACTGGAGTTGCTCTTGATGGTCTGGCTGACCTCTCCTAGATGGTCTTTCTGATCGACTTGCCCCGGCTTAATGGGCCAACTATCGAGACATTATTCGGCACCGAGCTCCGACGCTTCCTGAAAGCGCTTGGCCTTGACGAGAAATTGGTGAAGAGTCTGGACAATTACGACTTCTCCGAGACAAGCCGTTATGGTTTCATCCACTCCATGTCAGTAGCAATAGCCAACAGGGCAATCCGATATTAGATGACATCCTGACAGACGGCTAACCGACCCATAGCTCTGGCAGCCATACGAAGGAAGCTTGGCAACACACAGGCCAGTCTACCCGTTCCCCTCGGAACGCGATGACTTCATGTTCGTGGCAAGTCAAAACTGTGCTGACTTAGACTTTTAATTAGGCTACTGCGGCTTAGGGAGCAGTGTCCGAAGCTTGGGTTTGGCAACCGAGAATGCCGTTGACATTGACTATGTGGTACGTAAGTGGTCTGCGCGGGCTTTTGGCTGAGCAAGTTGCCCAGCTCTTGGCGAGCGGTGACCAGGGGTGTTGCTAACAAATTTGTCATCCCAGGCATCTTCACTGGGATCGCTAAACCATGGGTTCTTAACGACGATATACTATGCCTGTCAAGGTGTGTGTGGTTACAATCAAGCCTGTTGAGGTTTGACAGGGTGAAAAGATCAGCATACTAACGCCCCGTTGCTGGCACTCCTTGCAGGCGACTCAGGCATGAAAGAATACGAAGCCAGGCAGTCCAAAACGACCAAGAACAAGGCTGCAAAAACAGGCTTGGGTGGTTCCAGACCAGTCGACATTGACAAGGAGCCGCTCCAATTGCAGCATCATTTCCGCATCTATTTCCCTACCGAAAAGACCGTTTCTAGTAGCCGGGGCGGTAGATCTGTAAGTTGTGTGCCGGCCGGGATCGCCGCGTTACCGGTCGATCCTGCTGCCCAAGTCCCCATGTATTTTCCCCGTATGCTCATTTTACGTGATGTAGTCTGCCGGCACCATTTGCATGCAAGAGAAATGGTGGAATTCTTCAACGTTTCCGCGAGAATTGATGCGAGATTGCCAAAGCGCCCGAGGTGGCCTGTTGCTACATAGCAAAGCCATATTCGTCCGTGAGCGGGCGCACGACGGCGCAGTCTGGGCATACGTGGGGAGTGCAAACTTGTCGGAGAGCGCATGGTAAGTCAAACAGGAACCCTCGCGATTGGCCTGCAGGCTACCCTTAGCGGTAAGGGCTGTGTGACGAAGAGTGAAGGGGCAGTCTAGTGCAGTGTCCTGTCTCGTCTCGGCGAGGGACATATAGCACAGAAGGGGCAAAGCCTACTGTCTGAGGGCAGCGTGAAGAAACGACGTGGGTCGATCATAAGGCTGACCTAGATTGAACTCTTAGGGGCCGATTAGTGAAGGACCGGGAGTCGGGAACGGCCAAGCTCACTTGTCGCAACTGGGAGTGCGGCGTGTTAGTCGCGGTTAAGGACAGCTCGGCAAGTACTGGGGACCAAGGCGCACAGGTACAGTCGCGTCAGCGGGCAAAGGCGCAGACTGGGACGCTGGAGGCGCATGCCGAGAGCGAGGAGACATTGAAGGGCAAGGAGGGAACGGCGGCGGCAGCGGCAGAGAGCATGGGGAAGCGGCGGCATCAGCAGCTCGATCAGGACGGATCGGTGGGCCTCGATGAAGTGTTTGGAGCGACGATGCCCATTCCAATGAGGGTGCCGGCGAGGCGATACACGTCAGATGAATCGGCAGCCAGCCGGCCATGGTTTTTCATGAAGGCCGACTGAGAAGAGTAGCAAGCAGGGGTGGGGTGTGATTCAGCTGAGACACCATTCTGAAGGATGACCAGTGGCAGCTAGCAACTCCAGCAGCAGCAGCAGCAGCAGCACCAGTCAGCATGCAGCATGGAGAGCGAGGAATATGGAGAGGAGAGGGAGAGTGAGAGAGAGAGAGAGAGAGAGAGAGAGAGAGAGAGAGAGAGAGAGAGAGAGAGAGAGAGACAGTATGGAGCTAAGCGTGTGAGCTAAGCGTGTGCAGACTGCAGAGCACGGACGTGGATCTTCATGGATGGCATGGCCTCGTCTCAACCTGGAGCAAGCCCCGGGTCGGCCGGGCTAATTAGCCCTCCGATGGCGGTACCAATCCTGCCGTACCTAGCTTGCTAGCCAATTTGTTCTGCCTAGCGTTCCGTAACAGTGTACACAAGGAGGACTAGTCTACGGATACTCTGAGGGAGCGAATGGACAGGTACCTTTTCCAAGTACTTTCGCTCCCAAAGAATTCTGCAATTGGATGGGCAAGGGTTTTATGGTCAGGAAGTTGTGGGAATGCCTTCGTACGTTTCCCACTTCATGGCGCCTAGTGGCGGCCGTTGTCGGGTTGCAGATAGTGAGCGAGAAGGACGAGGCGCTACGGATACTTGCGTTAGTGCCCATTCATCATATGTGTATCCGTACTGTGTATGGAATCCGAATGCGGCGAAGGGACTGCTGCACGATACGCAGTTGACGGACTGCTAGACGCACATTGGAGTATTCCACGATACCGAAGGACAGGTTGGCCCACATGCCGGACAAACCCGGTGGGCTGGGTATGGATAGGCAGACCTTGTCGATGTTGCAGTTCAGCAATATAATTAAATACAAATCGATGATGGAGATGTCCAGAGGGCCCCAGAGGATATGGGAGGGGCTTGTTGTCAGTCAGGGGTCAGGTCTATGGAAACAATAAGCAGTCGATGTGAGTAAGGGGCGGGATCGATGGGAAAGTGGCCGGTCGATCAGGGGTGAATCTATCGAAGGCAACGGTGAGGTGTGTCGCAAACATGTGCATCCGTACGAACGATCAAGTACGAGATACTGGTTGTAGCGGAGGTAACGTTCGTCGGCGATTGGGTGATGCTTGGCCTTGATGGGCATTGGTAAATGGAACGGGGTCAGAGAGAGAAAGGAGATGTGAGGATGACGAAGAAAGCGAAAGAGAAAGTGGCACCCAAAAGGCCGGCGGTGTTTGATGGTTCGTGATGCGTGAAGTGGGCGGCGAATGAGGGAGGGGATGAAAGCATGGAGTTGGATTTACCGTCCGTACCAGTAGCCGCACCGGAGCATATGGATGGATACTACTAGTCTATGCGGCTATTATCATTATCCGTAGGAAGCAGGGAGAGTTATCCAAAAAGCCAACCCGTGATGATGATTGGTGATTTTTGGTGTTTATTTTTGTCTTGTCTACGTTTCGCGTCATCTAGAAATTTGTTTCCCGACCCCCTCCAAATTGTGTCGAGCAGGAAAGCATTGGGAGAACCGACGTCTTGGCAACGAGTTTTGCGTGCCGTGATGGTCTGCTTTGCTGGCTTGGCATGTCGAGATGAAGGCAAAGATGGAAGCGAAGTTGGTGTTGAAGTTGATCAAATTTTGCTGCCAAGACTCTAATCCAAGCGTGGCACGCGCGCGGTATTGAAATGCCGGTTGGTACACAGGCACAGGCACAGTCAAGATGAGGTCTCACCATTATTTCCCCCCTCCCCCAAATGTGGATGAGACATGCATAGCAACGAGTCCAAGTCCCATGGTCCCCAAGTTCCCAAGTCCCCAAGTCCCCAATCCAGGACCCAAGACTCCAGAATCCAAGGTGAAAAGGTGAGAGGAAGCGTTTGGATGCGGTGTAGTGCGGATATACTACAACGTACAAGCCCGCTTTGGAAGCTTGGCACAGTCGGGGTCCCTGTCAAGTTGGGCCGCTAGTGCGAACTCCAGATTGTGAGATCGCAGCTCTTCTGGTGCCAAACACTGGTTTCCCTTTTCTTTTTCGGATTGTGGTGTGAATGGATGGGGGTTGGCGTGCTGCGTGGGGAGCAAAGTGGTGCGTGGGCGGGACCTTGGACATGCGTGGGTGTCGTGTGGGTGTAAATCTTTCCTTCATCGGACACACTCCCCCCCTTCTACCTTTTCTCTCTCTCTCTCTCTCTCTCTCTCTCTCTCTCTCGTTCTCTCCCGGTACGAATACTCGTTCTCTCTTGGTACGAATACCCGCTAGCTACCTACTTACTCCCATAGTCACTTAGTCACTTAGTCTATCTTCTCCGTACGGATACATCATACTGTACAGAGAATGAAGATTACACAGACAGTATTCATTATTGGTCTCTGTGCATCATGTAGAAGCGTGTCTGTCATCTCTCTCCTCCTCTCTTGTCACTGGCTGGCTGTCCATGTGGAGGATAACTCCATTCTCTCTCCATCTACTCCCCTACCCATCATATACCTACCCCTTGTCAGACAGTCAGTCTACGGATACTTACTAGCTCACATGCTTCTTCTTAATTCCTTTCCTCTGCCATCCCTAGAGCCTAGAAAGGGAAGGGAGAGAAGAGGAAAGGGTCAATATGCATGGAGGGTCCTTATTGGCAGTGACCGGGTCACTTACTGACATAACATGGTCTGCCTAATTTCTCGTCTTCCATCTTTTTCTTTTTGTTCCACATCCATCCTACGGAGTCTTGACTTCCCACTCTTTTGATCATGTCGTCCGCAAGCCTCGTGAGCCACATGTGTCGCTGACATCGCTCTGCGTGTGAAGCACCAGATCGTTGCCGACTTTGGACTCGTTTCCTTTCCTTAGCTTGGGGCTATGGTATGGAGTCCCCGTCCAAACGTTTTGGCGGATATTTCTGCTCGGGGAGATGGTGGAGCAGCGATCAACTTTTCTGCCGGAACCACGACATGGGCTTGATTGGCTCAAAGATGGGATAACTCGGTTGGGTACAGATGCTGAAGGAAAGGTGGTGGGTAGAGTTGGGTTGAGTTGCCTCCCGGAATCCCAGCCTCCTACCATGCCACAGTGCAGTCACCAGGAAGAGGGGTGATGTGCAACTGCAAGCAGATGAACGGCCGAGATGGAGGAGAAGGGAGGAGGGAGAAGGGGGTCCGGCGCCGGGATGCGGACTTGTCACGGCCGCACGCACCGGCACCATCCACCACCCCC